CATGAACCTTACTTCATAGAAAAATGTTAAATGTTAAATATATTAAATAGGACATTGGCAAGATCCAAGTGTTTGGCAAAATTAAACAAGGAAAGAAAACAAGAAATAGGTGAAAAGCTGAAATTGTTAGGGGAGTCAGGGAATGTGTTTCAGAGCCTTGAGGGGTAAAGTGAGTGTTCCAGGCAGACTCAAGGATGGAGTCATCAGTTTAGTTTGTTCAGACACCAACAAAAAGGCTGCTGGGGAAGGGGGCAGAGTTAGTCAGGGGACTCAGATCTCAGACCCTACAGGGGCTGATAGGCCACCCCTCCCCACCAAGGGTCTGCATTCAGAGGCTATACTGGCTCCACCCCTGGTTGGCAACAACACAGTAAGCCAGAGCCACCCTGAGTCCTATAACACCAACACAGGTGACAGGACATGAGAACACACTGGGTTAGAAACTTCCCCAAAGACCTTAAGACTGGGCTTCTAATTTCTTCTGGACAGATCACTCTTTCCAGAAACTCACCAGGACATTTTAAAAAGAGAGGGAAGCAAACAAATGAATAAAATATCTTAGAACCAGTGGTTCAGTTTTGCCTCTAGGCAACCAAGATGGATCAATATAACTTTTTGTTATTAAAACAAGTTATTTATTAATCAGACAAGTGACTGACAATTGAGACATAGTGGCTATTAGGCTACAACCAGCTGGTTAGCACGTCCAACGAACAACCTACATCTTCCTCCCATGTCCAAATATGAAAACAAAATAAAGCTGAAACTTCTGCTTTCTTTTCCCATAAAACAAAACCGAACGAATTCTGAGAAATCATCTCTCAGGCACATGGAAAAGTCCTTAATCCTCCACTTAATTCGACAAATTGGAGTCTGAATAGATGAGTTCCTAATGCTCTCCTAAACAGTACAATACAAAGCACTGCTTAAAATGTCGCTGTAAAGCAAGTAATTTTTTTGCAAGTCAAATGCTTTTGGACGATAGTTAAGAGGCAATTTTCCTCTCCCCAGACTGTGACTATGACCAGGGACTCAATCACCCGGCTCCCTAAGCCACAGATTCCAGCGTCGCGTAACCCCGCGGCGCGGCCGCGCGCGAGGACCCGGGTTGGACCAGGGTTGGCCTGGGTTGGCCCGGAAAGCCCCGGCGCCGCCCCGCCTCCGCGCAAGGCCGAAGCCGGCCTCGCGTCGCCCAGGGCCGGGCCTCGACCGCAGGCCCGGCCCGGATGATCGACCTCGCCGCCAGCCGAGAGTCGCCGTCATTTCCGGCTGCGGGAGCCCTCAGCACTCAGCCTTCTCACCCCGCTCTCCGCGGCCGCGGCCCTCAGACGGCTCCCCTCACCTTCGACCAGACTCCCGCGGCCCTAGCCCCGCGCCTCCGCTTGACTTGAGGCCAGCCTAGACGGCCCGCAACCAGCTCACCTGTTCGCCCACCCGCCCGCCGGCTCCGCTCCCCACTCCGCGGCGCTGCTGGGCAGCCGGCCGACACGCTCTTCGGCCAGGGGATCCCGGGCGGCGGCGGCGGCGGCGGCGGCAGAGGGCGCGGGAGCAGCACCGGCAGCGGCGGGGACGCGCACGCTCACGCACGCACCCGCACCGGTGCGCGTGCTCCCGGAAGGACGTGAGCCACCGCACCCCCGTGAGCGCGCATGCGCCGAGCACGCCACGCGGAGGTTCCGCCCATACGAAGGCGGAGTCCCTGTGACAGCCCAGAGCAGAGGCTCCGCCTCCCAGGTAGGCGGAGCCCCAACTGACAGCCAACGGGCGGGGTTCTAAGGTGGTGGGCGGAGCTAGCATCCCCGGAGCCGGAAGCTCCCACCGCCCGGCAGGGGCAGGAGTGAATCGCGGAGGCGGAGCCAGTCTTCCTGGACTTCAGATGTCCTCAGGTGGTCCTGTGTCCTGAAAGGTAGACAAGTGGTTCACAGCGCCGCACGGAAAAAGTGAGGATTTTATCTTGCAGTTGAATTTGTTCAGTGCTTTATCTAAGGGTGAGAAAGTGTTCTAGTCTTTGTCAAAGAACTGAAGAGGGAGATGGCAGGGAGATCCTCGCCCCCAATCGCGAGCCACTGGCGTGGTATTGACATTGTCTCATCTCTGGAAAGCTTCGAGAAGGGACTTCCGCCAATACCCAGCTCCCTTCACGGAATCACCTACAAACAATGGCGTGCTGGGGCAGGAGAGCTTCCACTCCGCCTCCCGATGTGTCACCTCGTTCATCCTGTCAATCCGACCCGCTGAGGAAAAGGAACTTGGTCACTCCTGCCTGTCACTCCCTGTAACTAACCGTCTCACCATTTCTAGTGCTACTCTGTGTTCCTTAAGCGGGTAAGTGCCACTTTTCATTCCAGTTATACAACCTTTACAGCCAGTGCTCCTGCAGCCTGTCACTCTTGCCCATTGACTGTTTTCTTTTAAAAGCATAAAGGAGATGACATCTAAGGCTTCCACGACACACTGAGTAAAATCCAAAGTTAAGAGAACAGCCCACTCCATCCTGAGTCTTCCTCTGCCTTCGTCCTTTATGTCACTGCCATCTTGCTGATCTTGAGTTGCCATGCTTGTTTCGTCCCAGAGCCTGTCCGCTGCAAACATCTCAGAAAGCCTCCTAGCAGGTATTAAACTGTGCAACATCAAGCAGGCAGCAAAGAAAGGACTATGAAAAACAAGAACCAGAAAGGCCAGGTTGATAGCCGTGTTTATTGACTCAAAAGAATGAAATATTGTGAGCCAGAATTGGAGACAAAATAGACCTGGTACCAATTCAGTCTGTGTTGTGGGCTGCAAGAATGAATGAATCGGGCTTGAGTCCCTCTGGTACCTAGTAGTTCCATTTTAGGAATATTCTTCTAAGAAAACATTCCCAAATGTACAAAAAATTATGTGCACTAACATACTCATGGTGGCATTATCTGTAATAATGAAAATGAAAACCTGCACGGTATACAAACAGATTATAGCTTTTTAAAATGTGTATGGGACCAGGTGTGGTGATGCCTAACTACAATCCCAACTACACGGGAGTCCAGCACCAGACAAAAACCTAAGACCCTATCCAAAAAATAGCCAAAGCAAAAGGGACTGTAGGCATAGCTCAAGTAGAGCATCTGCTTAGAAAGTGCAAGGCCCCAAGTTCAAATCCCGGTACTCCCCCCACCACCACACACAAAACTACACAGAGGACACAGAACACAGAAAGTGTGATTACTCCGGACAGTAAAATATGCAAAAGTATGATGTATAAAATGTGATTATAAATGATTATAAATAAGTGAGACAACTTCTTAGGAGACAATAAGGAAGATACCTGACAAGTGTTGGCAGTGGTTAGTTTTGGGGTCTCATGTTTACCTCTGATGCATCAGGCCCTATGCTAAGTGTTTTATTCACCTTAAGCTCTTTACCTGGATGAGGCAGATAAACAGCATCATCATTCCGAAGCTTCAGGTGTGACTGCTGCTCTCCACTGCTAGTCCTTCCAAATGTGCCCTAGCTCCACCTGCTCCACTTGCTCCAGTCCTTAAAGCTCCTGAAGCACTTAATCGTACCTCATCTTACAAGAGCCAAAGTTACTTAGGGAAACACATCTTCCCCAAGTGGAAATGCAAAGTCCTTGAGGTCTGGGTTCACATGGATTCATCCTTGTATCCCACAAGGCTTAGCAGACTCTTACCCACAAAACATTTAACGTATTTGCTTAATAAACAAAGACTGCATGGAAATCACTTCCAAATATAAATTAGGCTTTCCAGCTTTTGTTACCACCAGCTCACTGTTGTAGTGAGATATATGCACTGCATGACTCACAGCCACTTAAAGTTCCCCTGCTGTTGTATCTGGATCAATACTCCTAGTTCTAATCCCCCAACAGAGCCAGAAGGGGACATATGGAGACAACCAGAGGCAGCAAAGAATGGGCTGGGACACTCTGCCCCCACCAAGAGTCTTTATAGGTGAAGTAGTGAGCCCTGCAGAGTACACTATCATTAGGAAGGAGAAGCAGGGTGTACATTACCTGTCACCTTAAGTGGGAAGGAGAGGAGAATGAGAATACATATTCATATTCTCGTGTTTTTGGATGAAGAAACACTATAAGGATGAACAATAAGAGTCACCATAGATGGTGGCTGGGGAATGTTTCTGAGCACTCCTTTGTATTTAGCTTTTAGCTTTTAAAACTGTAAATAAATTACCTTAAAATTCATAATAACAAAGGAGTCCTTGCATCACCCTCGGACCCCCCTCCCCAACCAGTCACATGCACACCCACTCACTCCCAATCTGACACCTCTCTTAAAGGAGAGGTGAGCTTTCCCATGGCTGCTGATCAGGCCTGATGTTCCAGGCCAGACCTGGTTCCTGCCCCTACCTCATGTGGGAGCCATTCCCCATCCAACCCATGCCCCAGTCCTTCTGACCTGAGTCAACAACTCCAACTTGTTCACTCAGAATTTTAAGGATTTCAATTACTCACTTATCTCAAATGGTCCCTCATCTGTGAGCATTGGGTAACACATGCCTTTCCACAGCCCTCAAGCTACTGGCCCAGAGTAGAATCTTCTTTCCAATGCCCACTTCTTCCCAGTGAGCTACCAGCAGCTCACTGGATGTGACCCAGCCTCACAGCAAGGGTCAGCAATGGTGCTTTCCCAAAGTCCCTGGCTCTATACTACAACAGCTCAACTAGAATCCAGCTAGAGGTAGCAGGGTGGGGGGCAGGCAGGAAGGTTCCTTTGGTAGAGACAATCCTGACTAGCTGTCCTCCGGAGTACAGGCTCAATCCAAAAGCTGGCATGTTCCGCTTTCAGAGTTGGCTTCACACAGCTCTATCCATTTGTATTCATAACATCAAAGATTTACAGTTTGTACCTGTGATTGCCTCCTGACTGCCTTTCCCAAAGTGGTCTTATGACAGCAAGGACTTGTATGCTGATTTACTCTCTACTCTTGTCATTGTCCCAAAATACACACCAAAGAAGAGGGCATGGATATTCCCCTAAAGGAATGCTTTATTTACAAGTTTCCCATTATTCATTGTAGGAAGATACATCAGTAACCTGCATTCTTGCCCCTCACCACTGAGTTTTTCAACCCTGGAAAAAGGACACCAAGTGGTGTCCTTCCCTGGCTCCTGCATCCTTGTTATATGTGCAGTGCGTATATCCCCAAGGATGTCCAAAGTGGTCAAGTACACTCGAGTCACCAGAGGACACATCACACTCTATCAAACCAGACACTGTGAACTAAGCAGTCCCTTCCCTCCTGGGAGTGTACAGATATGCACATAGCAGGCAAGATCTTAGTACCCTGCTGAGAGCCACTAAGGCACAGAGCTTCTCTTCTACTTCAGACCACGCCTCTCGACATGCAATGAGAGAGGCTTCCAGGGTGGGCAATTTAAAAACAGAAACAAAATTTTTATAGCTCCTGAGAATAGGTGACAGCAGAGTTCTGGCTGATCCCATAATCCATCCCTAGCCTGACCTGCGGGATTGGGGTTCTGTTTCTCGTTCATTCTACCTGCAGTGAACAGGTAAGCTTGAGCCACCAACTAGAGCCATGCCAGCCAGGCCAGACCCAGTCAAGGCAACACATATTGTTCATGGGGTGCTGAAGACAGCCTTCCTACCCCACCAGCACAGTAGCCCTGTGGGCGAGGGTGGGGAGCCAGTGGAAGCTGCCAGTCTTTGAAAGAACCAAGTTTTGCACAATAAGAGAGGTTTTAGTGAAATTAAAACACACTACAGGTACAGGCAGGGTACAACACAGGCCTGATGTAAAATTCTACATAGTGCTCAAAATCCATTAAAGAACCCTCAGTTTTATATATAAAAAGATTATAAACAAAGCATAAGGCGATATAAGGCTTGAATTCTAGCTTGAGTCCAAAGAAATAATATTCTCTAACAATGAGGCTAAAGCTTTTTTGCCTAATTTTAATTTTTGAGAAGTCCATTGCATTTAAAAAATAGTGAATCTGCTTCTGTCAAAGCCAGGTCATTAGTGTAACAATTAGGCAGCTGCTGACAATGTTTCCTTTCTAGGGTCTCAGAAAATGAACAGTTTTCTAAATCAGCATCTCAAGATTAAAAACTTTGACCAGGCATTCTCAGATGAGTGTATTCCTTCTGAGATAGAGAAGGAGGACAGGCCAGAGAATGCCACTCATTTTATACTCACAACGCTTTTCTTTCTCTCCAAGTTCTAGTGAGCTAATGAGATTTCCAAAGAGAACACGGGCTTTGGCTCAATACCCCTGCAGCCCTCCACCCTGCCCACTTCCTGTGGCCCTGGAAAGGATGGCACAGTGATTAGCTTCATCTATGAACTTTAGTGTAAAACATCTATGTACAAGACTTTGTTCTCTAACTCATGCGAAGGCAGCAGCCACATCTGCATGATGGGCACGACTGTCCTCAAAACCAGCTGTTGGCCGGCCCTGGCTGGTTGCTGGGTTGCTCAGAGTGGCGGCTGTGATGATGAGGGTGTGCTTGCATGTGCTCTGTGGCTGATGAGCTACTACAGGCTTAGAAAGGCGCGTGATCCTGCAGAGGCTGGTCACCACTCCCTGCTGGGGAAGGGAGGCTGTCGCTGCCATTCTCTCTGCCACCTACAACCTTAGACTACAAAAGAAAAAAGATCAAGAAAGGTAACTTGAGACAGAGCATACACACAAGATAGGTTCCAGCCTATGCTCAATTCTCTACATAGGTTTATGCAACATAAACACTGCTCAGCCATGAAAAGGAACAAATCACTGGCAGGCAACAACCTGAACAGGTCCCTGGGGAATTATGCAGAGTTGAGAGAAAGAAAATCCCAGAAGGCTACATACTGTGAGACTCCACTTAACTAACTTCCTTGAAATGACAAAATTACAGAGATGGAGAACAGATTTAGGGGCTGGCAGGGCTACAGAGACACAGGGTGATACTTGTGGGCATGCATGTTGTGTTTTTGTGCCCTGGTCATGAGACTGCACCCAAGTTCTGCAAGATGTCATCACTGGAGGAAATGATATGAAAGGTACAAGGACATCTCTGCAGGACTTCCTGAAATAAGTCTCTAACTTATAATAATATAATAACCTATTATTATTGAGTCTACAATAATAAATAAGTTGATGTGACAGGTTACGCCTCGTTACAAGAACCAACAGCCTAGGGACAGTTACCTTTATGGTCCCCACACGGTCCTCAAATGACTTGAAGGTTGCAGAGTTCCTTTAAAGAAAGAGGGGAGATGTGTTAATGTGAAGAGGAACACACATTGTTGTTGCCCTCCTCAAGCTGAAGGGACTCATGGATAGGATCATGTCTATAAGGATCCCTGACTGAAGGAAACCTGAACTCTTGCTGCAAAAAACGTGATACACCAGAAAGGGGGTTGGATGTCCTGCAGAGTCCAGGAGGGCAATTTTGGGGCTCCCCAGGTCAGGCTCAGATGTCACACAGTAACACTGCAAACTCCCACTGTGTAGTAGGCAAGATGCCCTGCACATCCCTGCTGCACTCTAAATGGACATCTTTGACTGGGTTGGGGGTATAGCTCAGTGGTAGAATGTTCCCCTAGCATACACAGGCCCATCCCCAGCACTGGGAAAAAACAAAAACAAGCAAACAAAAACAACCTTGGCTCTTTTGCACTGGAGCTATGGGAAGTCCTATATGTTTATCTCTCAGAGAAGCCAAATAACAGGAAAAACAAGGACAATTCTATAACAGCAGAGGGGTAAGGAGGCAGAGAAACCAGACCAGTCCCCAGCCCACTGGTCCTCACACAACTTGGTCGCCTAACAGTCTCCATGATGAGGATGGGTTCAGCTGAGTTGGACTGCACCTGACCAAACAGACAACACTGCAGGTATTCCCAGGGGGTTCTGAAACACAAGGCCTCTGGAGAGAGCCTGACGTGGAGATGCCAGCCTCTCTACCTTCTCCCTGCTAACCCCATAGGCACCCAGGGCTAGAATTTGCAAAGTTCAGGGCAGTACTATTTCACAGAATGGTCCCTCTAGAGGACTCAGGAAAGGAGCCTCACTCCTACTAGGTCTTCCACACTAGCCTAGAGGTGGTCTTTCCCAGCCTTTAGCTGTCAGGAATTTGTTGCAGGAATGTGGTCCCGTATTGGGGAGTATAGGAAGTAAAAGATGTAACTGGTAGAGCTGCCCCACCCCTACCCAGAGGCAGCTCTGGGCAACAGAAGCAGGCGTACTTTACCTCATGACCGGCATACTTATGGAGTGGCGGATGGAGTAACTGCTGCTTGGAAGCATGGTGGAAGCAGAGAAGGAAGCAAGAGTTAGCACAGGGCACCAGACTGCCACACACTCGCCAGCTTAGCTCACATATAAACCGACTTCAAAAGGGGGGAAGAGGTGGGACCTCACTCCCAGCAAAGATGAAACAAGCTGCTGGCCCCTCCACATTATGTCCAGAAGGAAAACCACCCCAGGCCCCTCTCTTGGACTCTGAGGGAGGTCCAAGGTTGCCCAGCAATGTGGTACTGCTGATGCAGAGCATTAAAATAGAAAAACTATAAAGAAACCTAGGCCTGGGGTTTCTGGAAACATTCGGTCCACACAGCCTTCCAATATCCTCACAGGTAAATGATCTCTTGGCAAAAGAGAAACACCCAAGCAAGTTAAGTGAAAATATTTAAAGTCACAGATTGCTCTTGATTTGGCTCCATATCTCCCAGTAACAGCTTAAGAGGGTGTGGTAATCTGCACAGTATAGACACAGGGAGTAAATCCCTGGAGGAATATCTAAGGATTCTTAGGGAATAAATGAGAGACAAACTCAGCCTAAGGGACAGGACTGCTTGTCAGGAAGTAAGGAAACAGGACCTGCATCTGAAAAGGTAGAGAACAGAAGGACAGGTTGGGCATCAACTCCTATATGAGTGCTTTTCTTCAGGAATAAGCTAAGGTGTTAACACTGAGATATAGTCACTGTTTTGAGGTCAGGTCAGTCACTCCCTGCCCCAGAAGCAGGGAGCTGACACATGCCCACCTGAAGCACCCAGAGGGGACAGACATATCAGGTGGGCCAGTGGAGTCACCTCTATGTGGACCATACTGCTGGCCAACAGTCTTGAAAACAGCAGCTGCCTGCTGGGTGCTGACCTAATGGAAGGGGACTTTCATTACACTGGCTTGCCCACTTCTACCCAGCATTGTTTCCATGGGCTGCCCGAGTCTACCCTGCCCTGATTCAGAGAAAAGCCTTCCACGGGTGTATCCAGGGTCAGTCTTACCTAAAGGAATGTGAGAATGGATGAGCCCTGCATGGTGGCAGCAGGAGGAAAGAAGAAAGACAGCGTTAACCAAAGAAGGCCAGTGCCAAACAAGGCCCTTCTCCTATTCACCCCCCAACCCCACACCAGCCAGTGCTCACACTGGCAGGGATGGAATAATATGTGTCCCCATCCTGACTCTACAAGAGACTCACAAGAGAGCACATCTGGCAACCATATGGCCATGGCACTGCTCCTGAGCATGGTCATAAGTACAAGAGGTTCTGTGTTCACAATGTTTGGAGGTTAAAGGGGAGATGTGCCAGTGAGCCAGCTAGGCTGAACCAGAACCTCAGGTCCGCAGAATAAACTGTATTCTCTGAGGCTGAACAGGAACACAAGTACCATAAAAGGACCTAGAACATGCTCAGAGCCAAGCACTTCTACTCTAAGTTCTGTCACCACAGAATACAACCTGGAAATGTGCACGTCCAAGGGCAGCTGCTGGCACAGGGACAACACAGCTGGCCACTCCTCCACCTCTAACATACCAGAAGCCAAAAAGAAGCCATTCCCAACATGGAAGAAATCACTGAACAATGCACACACCATTCCCCGGGTGGAAGTGGAATCAGCTCTTGTTCAAAATCATCAAGCCAACTGTAACCTGATGTAAACCATTCTGACCCGCTTTCCCCTCCCCATCACCTCAGGTCCCAGGGCACACCAGAGGCCTCTCAGGTCAGGGATGCTCCAGGACAGAACCATCACGGACGCAGACATGGGCAGCTAGCTCAAAGGACCTGGACTCAAGGGTCAGAAAGGACCACAGGGATTATCTACCTATGAATTCATGCTGTCAAGTCTCCTGAATCTGATTCTCATTCTCAAGAAGCCCTGAACTCACAGCCTGTATACCTAAGCCCATGGGCCTATATCTCAGAAACCATTACAACTATCTGGTGAGATGACGGGGATCTGCCATGGCCCCAAGAGGTAAGAGTTCACAACATCACTACTAATACCAACAAGGGAACATACAAGCAAACAAGAAACCCTTCAGGCACCTTGAACACAGTCAGCTACCTGGAGAGAGCTGGATCCTCTGACTTGGTCCTAAGGCCCCTGCTCACCTTGGCTGGACCATTCATGCCAGAGCAGTGAGACCAGTCATGCAGACAGGGCTGTCTTAGCATTACTGCCTGCCACAGTCCAGAGGCTACACACTCCAGGGTCAGCAGCAAATCTCACTTCTATGAGCTGAGAATGGAAGGTGTAATCCTTGTCAGAGAAGGAGCAACAGAGAAATGGGAGTATGTACTTGTGCTCCTAAAGAAAAGCAAGCCATAGAAGAATGCCAATCAAAATGGCTAACAGTCACGCCCATTGGTACCAACAGCTCTACCCACCCATCAGATTTCCACCAGGATACTATAAACAAATTCAGAAGGGCGTGAGAACACTAAAATGAGCAAGCATCCCAGAAGTAAAAGCAAGTGCTCCTCCCAGAGGTATGGCTTAGACAAAGCAGACACTTGTGTTAATAGAACACTCTGGGTAAAATGGGTATTTTTAGGAAGGAATTGATAGCAGCTTTCCATTGTGGCACTGGGGCAACCCTGCCTCAGCTCCATGGCAGACCCTTGAATAAGATCAGATAGCAGTAGTGGAAGGTAAGCCTGTCACCAGGCTTATTACCGTGTAGCTCAGGTGTCCCTAAGCCAGGCAGACACCTAAGGAAATACCATGCTGAGGACTGGTCCAAGAGACAGCTTGTGTTCTGCTCAAATTGATACCCCATTCCATTCTGACCCCAATTCACAGGCTATGTCACTGCCTCTTCAATGGACCTCCAGGGAGAAGAACCCTCCCTACCTGTCCCAAGCATCAGAGGCTGCCTCATGAACTAATGATCATCTATTTCTTGAGAAATGTAGAAATGACCAAAGACAGACTACAGGAGGCAAAGGAACCCCCACAGAGATGTACACTGGTCCAGGCCTGGCCTCCCCTAGGCTGTGCATCTGAGCTCTGGATGGTGGCAGGCCTACCAGAGTTTCCAGTTGCTAACCACACTATTTGACCAGCTGAGGGTCTTACCTCATATCTCCGAGCTTTCTGCTGATAGCAGAGCCCATGGTGGACAGGGCAGCAGACGTCTTCTGTCCTGCCTGTGAGAGAGTTTCCTGGGTCTTCTTATAGCTGAAAAAGACATCTGTTAGACCAAACAAACAGCAAGGGCAGCCACAACCTATCACCCAGGAAACATACCTCAGGGAGCTCCCCCGAGAGAGAGGCAGGGAGGAGTCTGGCAGGTGGTGAGCCCTCACTAGATTGCCATAGAGGGGTGATGTTCCTCTGCTCCCAGCAGCCTGCACACTGCATGCTCACTTCACTGCATCTTACAGTAGTTTGACCTCTATCTCACCTGATATTTAGCCCGCTCACATCTTCTCAAAGCACCTCTCACTGCTTGGGAAATGTAACACTTGCCTGCTAAAAAGAAAGCAAGGCACAAAGACACTGGGTCTGGCTACACACCTGGGTGGTCAATGCCTGAACAACAGAAGCCAGGAAAATTCTCAGCTCCCTGAACAGGTTCAAGGCTTCCCTTTCCTCTTCTCACATAAGATAGTCTTCTGAGGTGAGAAAACAAAAGCTCAAATGCACCCATCTGGATGTCCCCTATGTGAACTGGCACCTCTGCAGTGCCTTCTTGAGTCGAAGAGACTCCACCCTTGGGCACTATCTGTGCAAAGCTCTTCCAAAACCTGGGACCATCCTGTTCTCACACCCCCTCCATAGTGCAAAAATGTGGTCTTGGCCCACAGCATAGGCTGCCACTCTCATCTCCTCCTACATTCATCCACACATGGGCACATCACACCTAGACATCACTCTGTGACCTTGACACCAGCAGAAAGGGTACATGGGTAACAGGGACACTCTGGGGTCCACCATGAAAGCCAATACTTCGAATTGCTGGCTTTTGTCCAGCTGCCACCACAAACAAAAGACATAGCAGCCTCTACCACAACAAAGTTCATAACCAAACCCCAAATTCAAGGTCTTCAGGTCACAGTACTTCACTGAGATAGCCTGGAAGAACTTGAAGCTTAGTTGAAAGTAAATGGGGACTTTGTTAGGCCAGCTGATACAACCAGAGTGACCTGAAGAGCTATTCCCAGAAAATATGGCCAAACCTGCGGGATAGCAGCTGATCATCCTCCCCAGAAGATGAGGCTCCTCTGGTCCCTGTTGGTGTTACCAGGTCATAGCAAGTACTAATAGGTCTTTCAAGCCCTTCCTCCCATGCCCTACCCCTACTTCCTGCAGGAGGCCCCATAAGAGTGCCTGCCAGTCACCTGGCACTTTTCTGCCAAAGGCAGAGGAAACAAGATTCTCTGCAAACAATAGACTATACCAGAAACAAGGTGTTTTCCAGGTTCAAAGTAACTAAGGACTGGCAATATTCAGTTGCAGAAATAAAAATTTAGGATTTCCAGTGCCTTAAAAAACAAAAAGAAGAAATACAGCCAGGTTTGGTGGCATACACCTATAAATTCCAGCACTTGAGAAACTGAGGCAAGAGGACTTCAAGTTTGAGATCAGTCTGGACTAGCCCAGAAAAGAAAAGAAAAATTATTAGCTAGGGTCTCTGTCCCTTCCATGAACTCTAGTTCTGCAGGCCCAAATCAAGAGCTTCTGGCAGGGCTGGGGATGTAGCTCAGGGGTTAAGTGTTTTGCCTAGCATGCACAAGGCCCTAAGTTTGATCCCCAGTACCAAAAAAAAAAGCCTCTGTCATTCAGACACATACACATTCCTTGGTGCCCTGGGAGTCACCACATGACATGGATGGGAAGGCTGAGCCATTGGCTGTGCCACCCCAGCCAGTTCTCTTTGAGAGTTACTTAGTCTCTTAGAAGAAGAGTACAGGACAGACAGCAGGTTCCTCCTGCTTGCTGTGAGCCATTGTGGCTGTCAGCCAGTGTGAAGATCGACAGATGTCCTTTTCTCTCCCCATCTAAGTCTTCCTTTCCAGACTGCGCCACTTTCACAAAGGCCGACCAGAAGGTGCCAGCTCCCTGGTCACAGCAACTAGTCCAGTGAGACACACCTGGGCCACCTTATTAGGTTACAAAGCTGGAAGCAGGAGATCCTCTCTCCCAGGTGAGTCCTCTTACTTCACTCTTCAGCTGACACTCTCTTTAGTTGTGCTATCACCTGCAACCCAAAGAACTCAAACTGGACCAACTAGCAACTTCAGAGCTAAGAGTGGTCTGCTCTTGGAATTGGGGTTTTAGTCTTATCTGCCTGTAAAAGGAATACTACTGGGCTGGAGGTATAGCTCAAATGGTAGAGCATTTGCCTAGCAAGTGTGAAGCCCTGAGTTCAAACCCCAGTACCTCCAATAAATAAATAAAAATAAAAAGCCCATCTTACAGTTCATGATGGAATACAAGGTAACAGTTTCACGACCCACATATGCATGGCTGTTCACACATACAGAAGTGGCTAGCTAAGAAAGGAAGGCCCCAGCAGCATCTCAGTTGTGTAGGCACAGCAGAGGGCAGACATTCACACCACCTACTGAGCTGCACTCCTGTTTGAGTCCTCCAAGGGTACTGCTGGCTGGAAGGAATCCACAAACATGTGGCTCAGGAAAGTCAAGAAGCTTGCTTCCATCACCTTCCCCCGTAAAAGCTCCAGGCAGTTGAATCCTGCCAACAGCCCATCTCCTGAAGCCTGACCAGGATAGGCTCCAACCAGGCAAAGGATAAGGAGGAGCCAGCATCTTCAGCCCTCATTCCCAAAGCTACACTGTCCCCCTGGACTGTCAGTGCAGAAATGGCTCTAGCCATTGCTATGACAGCTTTTCCACCAACAGAGTCATGGGTGAGACCCCCAAAGGAATGGCCTCTGCCAGGCAAAGTGCTTGCCACACTTTCACACCAAGCCACAGGTTTCTCTCAGGAGATCAGAATTCTACGTGTTCTGAGCTCTTTGAGAAACTATTTATCTAAGATAGTAGTCCAGCAGCTCTATGCCAGGTGGCTTCATGCATGCAACAGCACTGTCTCCTGAAATAATGTTCCAACTCTGCACTGTGAGCCTGTCCAGGGCCCTGATGGGAAGGGAATATCTGTTCCAGCACAACCTGAAGATAGTCTTCCCAGTGCTCCTACAACACCTAAGGCAACAAGTGGCTGCTGAACAAAAGCACGGGAACCACCAGAGCACCCTGGCACCTGCCTCCCACAGCACACGACCTAAGGTCCCACACAGCCGACCAAATTGATCCCAAGCACCTCCAAGGCATTTCCTTCAGCCCATGCATGGAAGGACAGCACTTCCTTCTAAACAAGAGACTACTCTAGATGTTCTCTTACTCACATCAAAGACATTAAAATCACACTAAGCACAGATAAATGACACGCTATTACTAGATTAAGGATCTCAAAACATTAGAAGGTACATTGAACTGCTGCTCTGACAGATACACATAATTCACACTCGGCTAACACTACAGGTAGTTGACAGTGCAGAGTTCCTAGACCACAGGACTTCACAATCCCACCTGCATGGCCACACACTCCTTCCCAAAGCACCCATCAGTCAAAGCACTAAGACCCCAAGGGCAGGAACTGAGTCTGTGGGGGAAGAAAAGAGAACAACAAACAAAGAACAAAATCAGGCCAGCTGATGTCCACCAAAGTTTGCTCACTGCCAAAAGCTGAGAAGCATCTACTACTCAGAAAAGCTTTCCAAGCCAAGCTCAGTCCCTGCATCTAAAGTGTGAGGGTTAGGTAGAGAGGAGCTTTAAGTTGATCTGCTGCCTGGATAAATTTTTTTCAGCTACTGTAGCTGTTCCAAAGGAGCTTAAAACAGTTTCATTTGTACTTGGGAGGAGAAAGATAGCCAGAAAGCACCAAAAGGAAGTTGGTGCCAAGTGTGCACTGCCTCCCTGCCCCAGGGAGAATGGAGGGAAAGAACAGAGGAAGGGCGCTGACAGCACAGGCACTCACAGGTCAGACTGGGTCACTTTCTCATTCCACTCTCCAAGTTTCTCAGAAGTTTTCACATAGCTAAAAACAGAAAGTCTGTAGTGAATATTTAGAAGAAGGATTTCAATTCAGGCTTCAAGCTACAGATAAGATGCCAAGGGAGACACAGAAGGACCTCTTATCAGGATACCTGCTCTGAAGGCCACCAAGTACAGCTCAGAGCTGACCACTTCTCCTCCTGCCACACCATGAGAGCCCTTGGTCTTGGTGGCAGAAGGCTCCTAAGGAGGACACAGCTCATGGCTTAAATAGTCACCTTCTAGGACTCAAGACCCATAATGTTCTAGGATAGAAACTGCAGATGAAGTTTATGAAATGAGACTCCATCTTCCTTCTTCAAGACACAGCTTCTGGAAATGTCCCATCCCCCTACCTTGATGGATATTGTATCAAAGAAGTCATGTGACCACGACCATAGTAAAAGGCAGCATTGCCCAAATTCAGAGAGCTGAGTCATATGAGGATCAGCGATCCTGAGTTGTGACCCTGTTAGGCTCATGAGAAGGACTGATGTCCATTTCAGCAAACATAGAAAAGTCATTCTGATTGAGGACATAATTGGTACTCTGATCAATCTTGACCCTGAAATACTTTCTTCTTGTCAATTTCTGCTTACACAATTATATGATGTGCCCATCCACCTTTTCAAACACATGCAGACTCTACCTGTGAATAAACACAGGTACATTCCCTAAGTCAAGGACTCAAGGCCTCTTGGCTAGCTGCTCCCAGTAGGCTCACTCAACCCCTAGTGCTACACGGCAACTTATTCCCAAGCATTCATACCCTCCATCTCAAGACAGAAGCATAACCCTGGTGAGTACTTTCTCCAGCCAAAAGGGGCATCCCCAACACAGCGGGGTTGGTACCTACGCATTAGAGACCTGCACATCATGCCAGCTTCTAGACAGGTTTTGCTTCAGCCCCCCTAAGGTAGAGAGGCCAAGCCTCCTTTTTAGTTCTCCACAGTGCCTCTCCTTGGCTGCCAGGACCTGGCGCAGAGTGACAATTTCTTCTTCCACCTGCAAAGCATGCAGTAGACAATATGAGCCATCACTACTGCAGGAAGTAACCAACATCCTTATACATGCTACAATGAGGCATCTCAGAATTACATAGGAGCTTCCCACTTACAGAAACATAACTCATCTTAGGAGTAGTGTCTATGATAACAGTCAGTTTTGCTTTAATCTAGCACCAGCACCCTAACTTCTGGAAAGCTGTCCATCCCTGTCAAGCTAAGTGGTTCTGCTAGGGCTGTCAATCACTGCACCCCACCCCAAGCAGTCTAAGGACTATCTCAGGACAACCAAGTGAGGCCTGGTAAAACTCTTCCTCATGACTGGGCATGGGTGTTAGGGCAGAAGCCCCCTTCCCTCTAGACTCTGGATCTGACTTGGACATAGCAGCTTACACTGTTGGCAGACAGGCCCCTGATGCACTATGCAGTGAGAAGGAAGCAAACTGACAGACAGCTAGACCAAGACCCAAGTGACAGAGAAATAGTTCTTATGACTACATTTGTGTTCTATAGGTAAGCTCCAGGCCATGGCAAAAGCCAGTTACACAAACCAAAAAGTAATTCTCTTTTGTGCATAAGGCAGTTTGAGATGGGTAACAGAAAGATTCCTGATTATGAGAACTTCAATTTTTTTTTTAAAATGACTTCTGAAAGGAGCATCCTTTGAAGCTTTTCTGCTATAGAATGAGTTCTTGATAATTTCAGTTCTTCTGTTACTCAGTTCCTGTTATTTAGAATAGTGATTTACATAGCTATTCTAAAAAAAATTGCCTCTCATCAGAGCCTGACACCGTAGCTCACACCTGTAATCCAACTACTTTAGAAACTGAGATCAGGAGTAGTGCAGTTCAAGGCCAGCCTGAGCAAATAGTTCACAAAACCCCATCTCAATGGAAAAAGCTGGGCATAGTGATGCACATCTGTCATCCCAGCTACAGCAGAAATCTTAAAATAGGAGGACTGAGATCCAAGCTGGCCTGGGTAAAAACAGAGCCCCTATCTCAAAAATAATCAGAGCAAAGTGGTAGAGTGCCTGCCTAGCAAGTGCAGTGCCAAGCCCTGAGTTTAAAACCCCAGTACTACCAAGAAAAAAAAAAAAAAAAAAAAAACAGGAAAAGTTTCTTTCCTAAAAAAAGGTCCAACGCAGATAGACTGGTGAGATTTTAAAAACGACTGTGAAGTGTTAATCCCAGTAGACAGCACACTCAGAGAGGCATCCATCTATGGGCACTCTCCTTGTGGAGCATCTACAAGTACCAGGCTGGGGCAGGAGGGAGGAGATCAAGTCCTGCCTCCTTTCACAGATGGCTCTAGGCCAATCCCTGGAGCTGGCAATATACAAAGAGGCTGCCTCATAATAGGGGGAACACAGAACAGATGGGTGGCCACTGGGGCAATTCCTCTAGAACATAGGATGTGTCCTGCTCCCTTGACACAGGACCTTGACTCATAGTCACCCCAGGACAGACAACAAAGCCACAGCACCTTAGCAAGTTCAGCCCGGAGCTCCTCCTCCTCCACTTCTGTCAGGCCCTCCACAGCAGGAGTCCGGGCAGCCATACCTGGATCTACAGGGACGTCAGTCATGAAGTCAGACAGCACACCTTTGTTAGGAGAATTCAGGTTGATATCTGCAAAACACAAAATGGGATCAGAAAGTGTCAAATAAGTTATTTCTCCACCAGGAAGAACAGGTGGCCAGGGAGAGAGAGGGGGAAGGAGACCATAGAGACCAGTCAGACCTCCTTTCTGAGAGGCCTATAAAGATAGTCAGCATTGAATGGAGGGCCACTACCTGTCAGGCATCTGAGACACAAACTCAATACTACTCAATACTGCCCTACTGCTGCTGGGGCACTAGAAATGTGGACCAACATGGCCAAATTCTAACTCTGGTTTCCCCAGTAAGAATACCATTTTCTGTGGCAGGAAATTTTTGCTTCAAAGAAAGCAGTCAGAGCTAACAGATCTTCCACGTTTTAGAGTGAAGAAACTTAATATGGCCATAAACACAAGTATCGCTTTCCACTCATTTGCCAGGGACATGCGAATGTTACATATAAGGAGTATGTGCTATTCATCTGGACCCTGAAAGAAGTTAGCAAAACAAAATTCTCCTTTAACCCCATTGTTGTTCCTCATCCCACAACCAGACCACCAGCATGTGCAGTGGTGGGTATACTGCCTCCATGGTCCAAATTCCTGCAGTAGCTATTTTTTCTTCACTTTAAGTACATCGTCTTAAAAACTAGAAGATACCACATAAGGAAAAATACTTGCCTTCAACTCTCTCCAACTCCAAACACATGACTATTGTTCAGTATTTTTATACATTCAGCATTGAAAAAATTAAAAAAAAAAGAGAACATTCAAGAATTCAACATTGAAAATATCTTTCTCTCTCTCTCTCTCTCTCTCTCTCTCTCTCTCTCTTTGGCAGTACTGGAGTTGAACTTAGGGCTTCAAACTTGCTAGGCAGGCATTCTAGCACTTGGGCCATGCCTCCATCCCATATCTTCTCTCTTAACCAACACTTCCCATGAATAAACAGGCTTACAATAGTTTTTTGGTACATATAAGAGTAGCTTAAAATAAAAAGCATAAAGATTGGAAAAAAGGAAAGGTGTCTTTAATCCCAGGTAAATTTGTCAAATGTACATATTCTAAAAAGTCTACTAAAAACAGCATAAATGCCCTGAAAACCAAAGATGCTCTACTTAAAAGAATTTGGCTGCATCTTGTTCCTTCTCATGTCCCACACCACTGGAATTGTGCATTTCCTTAGCACAGATGCATACTAATTGAAGCATGCCTTCTTTTCTAGTCAACTGACTCATTTTAGCTTCCATGTGGTTTTTTGAGACAGGTTCTTGCTACATAGCCCAGGCAGTCCTAGAACTCTCAGTCCTCCTGCCTCAGCCTCCCAAGTGCTGGGATTATAGATGCACACCACCATGTCTGGCTGATCTGATTTTTAACTGAGATCAACCTTCATTATCTTACTTCATCATTTATATCCACTGTGCCTTAAGATCTCTATCATTTTTCTTCTATTTGAAAAAAAAATAAGTGAAAGCTCTCAGTTTCTATCTATAAAGCTAAAATTGGATTTCATGGAAATCACCCCAGATAGAAACTGGGCAGTTATCAAATATATGTCAGGCAACTTATAGTCATTCTGCAAGATACCAACCTCATCACAACCTTGCAAGTAGAAGCCATTCACATCCTGATTTTCAGAAGAGGCTGAGACCATGAAAATGTCTTACCAAAGGTATTATAAAGAATAAGTGAACGAGTAAGCAAGAACCCTCAATCCTGAGTCTCAGCTTGAAGAATGTATTCTCAAAGCCAGGCACGGTGGCTCACACCTGTAATCCCAGCTACTCAGGAAGCAGAGATCAGGAGAATGGAGGTTTGAAGACAGTCTGGTACTCCATTTCAACAAACAAGCTACACACAGTGTCACATACCTATAAGGTAACGGAAGTGGAAGGCTGTAGGTAGGAGGATCACAGCCCAGGTAAAAACATGAGATCCTATCAGAAAAATAACTGGGGATAGAATGTGGCTCAAATATAGAGCACTTGCTTAGCAAGTACAAAGCCCCAAAGTTGAAAAAAAAAAACCCAATATATTCATCTGCAAAATGGGGTTAATACAAGGACCAATCCCAAAGGATTACTCTGAAGTTGTAAAAAGTCATTAGGATCCTGTCTGGCACTAGTAAGATCTCAGTGTTTTCTGTATTTCTTTCTTTTTTTTTTTTTTGTGGTCCTCAGGATCTAACTCAGAGTCTCACACATGCTAAGCAAGTACTCTACCGCTGTGCCACATCTCCAGCCCTATGATTCTTCTTCTTTTAACTGCCTATCTGCACATTTAAGTTATTCTCTCATTCTTCTTGTCATATGCAGTAAGTTTTTTTTTTCATTACAAATCTTTATTAGGATATATTCATTATTGGGGGGGAGAGCCCCGTGGTTCTTCAGAATCTCATGCTTGTGATGCTTAGCTAAATCAGAAATGCAAGTAAGACAATAAAAAGCCTCCTGAATTTATCAGAGCTGGAGACTTCTGATGGTCAACTATTTGTAAATAAGCATCAAAAGTAGAAAAAATTTCCAGACTATCAGAACCCAGGAAATAATATGTTGACACAGGGCAAACAGTAGGAAAACTTCCTGAACTTATCTTATGTAGTTACGTCAATGCAGAAATTCAGCATCCCCTCTCTAGGACCCCAGAATGGACGACAGGCTTGTACCACCTTCTCACACGCCCCTCAGTGGCCACCTCACACTGACCTGGCTGGCTGTTCTGGAAACAAGCCCGAAGTGCTGGGTGTGCCCCTGACTCACTCCACCCTTCTCATGAGGCAACCCCGAAGCAGACTGAGCTACCAGCAGTGTTGCCACCCTAGGGGCGCCGAGCTGAACGCGAAGGCGGTTTCACCTCCCCTTCCTGTAGGGAGCCGCCCACAACGCCTTGGTCCCGGGCCAGCGCCAGGGGATGTCCCCGAGGGCCCTGCGCAGAGAGCGAGGGCGGCAGAGCCAGAAAAGGCCGGATTGGGGGCGAATGGCATGAAAGTTGCCTAGACTGAGGAATCCCCAACTTTGGGAATCAGCAGACGGCGCCGAGGAACCCTATCTCGGAGCGGTCCCAGGGGAGGCCACTGGAGGGAGAGAGAGAGAGAGAGCGCAAACATACACAACACACCGCGACCACAGTAAGCTTCAAGGTCAAGGACCTCCAAGCCTAAGAGGGGCCGTGGGGCTGGAGGGCAGAAGCTTCAGGGAACCGAGGAGAGGAGTCAAGACACGACCCTGGGGAGGGGCGGAGTGCCGGGTGGCCCGGGCCCATCTGCGGAGGAGGCGCCCGGCCCGGCAGGTACCTTGGCCCGCGGAGTCCATGTTCTGGCTGTGGCCGAGCCGCAGTTGGCGTCGGGGCCGGGGTCGCGGGCGCTGCAGGTGCCGAGCTGGCAGCACCAGGAGTCACCAGCCCAGTACTCACCAGCAGCGGAACTGCCGGGCCGCCGCGGCATTGCGTAATCAGCAATGCGCCTGCTCACTTCCGCTCGGGCTCGGGCTCCGCCCTCGTCCCGCCCTCGCAAAGCGGCGTCCAATGAGAATGTCCTCTGTCCCACTCTCGGCTTATCCGCTCCAACTTGATAGGCCGAAGTGACCGCCAAGCAGGAAGCTCAACCTGGGAATCCCTCTTAAATCCGCTCCACCTACGAGAAGCGCAGGTAGACCGGCTCGGTTTGCCACCCTCTGGGACAGGTGGGAGACTGTGCAACAAGGCGCTGCCCAAGCCCGTGCTGGGCCCCATGGGACCCTCAGGGGATGTGAGGCTTCCCACGAGCGCTTCGGCAGACTCCGACCCCTACGATCCTTTCACTGTCCTTTCTTGTTTGTTTTTGCTTTTATTTTATTTTTTTGGTTTGTCCTTTTAATGAGAACTTTTTACTGTGTCAGGGTTGCGTAGAAAAAGACGAGACCGCGATTCGTCCTCTTGCCCTACAGGCGCAGTCGCCCTCCGACTCGGGTTCAAGACTCCTAGTCCAGGGCGTCTCCGATTGCCGGGTCCACTAGTGTGGACACTGCGGGGAGCCTTCGTGCGTTCCTGCAGTCCAACCCCGTGTGCGCACCCCGGTCTGTTCTCACTTTTCACAGCAACCTGTGAGCCAGCATCGACGTCCTCCCAATTTACAGACGAGAAAACAGAGACTAAAGTAACTTGCCCGAGGTCACTCAGCCCACCGAGGGGCTACCAAGATTCTGCAAGAGTCTGGAACAAGAGCACAGCTGACTTAAAAGGGGACGGGTGTGACCACTAGGAAACCCGGCTGCTAAAACAAGTCTCATAAACTTCATTTGGCCCCTAACTTGCTCCTGGAAGAAAATCTTTAAATGTTTATCACCCCTTTCAGAACTGATCCCTCTGGACTGCACTCACCCCACCCCCTTCCAGCCAGGCCCCTGAATGTACTAGTCCCCAGGCATGGAAGCATACCATTGCCCTTCCCTTCAGCTCACTCCCCGCCCCATGGGTGTGTATTCCTGGTCCTATTGCACAGGCCTAGGTGCTTAACCAGCATGGCCTTATCCTATGTCTGGGTTGCCTAATATGTCTTCTCTACTTGCCACCTTGCTCAACCCAAATTGGTCAGCCTCTGTCTGCAAGACTGGAAATGACAGGGACAGCCAGTAGACTGCTTCATGAAGTGACTGTATCACAAGAGGAGCAAAAGATTTGTCTCATTTTGTGTTGCATCCCTGAGCTATGAACAAGGCCTGGGCCAAAGGACACCCAGTTAGAAGAGATCCATACATGCATGGATCTCTAGGACCTATGCCACCCTGTGCACTTGCTACTCTGAGTCCACAGTCCCTCTGTGAGCCCCACCCCCATAGGATGTGTAGGTGGGATGGGTGTCCCGCACAGCAACTGGGAATATCCAGCTGGCAATATTCAGCTGCTTAAAACCTGCAATATAGCCCTACAGTGTAATGTCCTCTTTTCACAGCTAGAGACAATTGTACACTTGAACACTCAACAAGCCAACCTCTTCCCAGGAGCCATCCTAGAACCCAGGCCAGGCAAAGGATGCTTCCATGTGACCCTATAGTTTTTTCCTAAGAGCCTTTTGCCATGATCAGACAGACATCCACCACACAGCATTACTGTAAGTTGGTCAGGATCATCTTTGCATTCCCTTTGGGAATTGGGCACAAGCATCCAAAAGTGTTTGTGGGAGGAAGAGAAAAGAGGGGAGGGAGTAGGGAAGAACAGAGAAAAGGTTCCAGTGCTCCAATGAAAGATATGCACAGCTCCGATAAACTGCACACCCTTCCCAGGTACCAGGTCAAGATCCCAGTAGTACCAACATTTCTGGCTGGAATGTACAGAGAACAGATCCAAGGCCTGGAAGGTGTGCTAGTGCCCAAACATGTAAGCTACATGGGGCACTGGCTAGAGTCTCCAAGGCAACTGGAAGTCCTCTGGCTCTAGGGGGCTGCAGTGAGTTGCCTCCACATTCTTGAGGTGCCTTCGTGCCAGGAACAGTGCTAGTTTCCGGCGCCTCTGGGGGCTCAGGCCCTGGCCCACAAACCAGGGGAAAGTGGGCCCATGTGGTCCCCAGGTCTCCACATCCTCCTGGCGGCGTTCACGGTAAGATCGCAGCATGGTCAGACACCAGTCATCATCCACATGGTAGCGGGTATAGAAGGCAGCTTCCTGGTCCGGGCTGCTGGCACGTAGCCAGCGGGTCACAATGGTGCGGCCCTCTGGCGCCATCACAGAAGGGTAGCGGTGCTGCAGCAGGCGCAGCAGCAATTCATTGCCCCTGTTGCCCTCCACGTCGCCTTCCATGTCACCAGACGGGAAACTGGGCAGGCGGCTTGAGGTGCTGACTACATCATCCTGCGTGCGCCTCAGCAGCAGCACTGGCCCTGGGTAGCAACACAGTTGTTCAGCCACATTGAGGTTGAGGTGCTCCCGCACGGTGCGCACCACCAGCCCCTTCCAACCATGGGGCATGACCTTCAACGCAAGTGGCACGAGGTCATCGAAAGTGGCATCCAACACCAGTGCACCCAGCTCCGGGTAAGTCATGGTGGCCCAGGTGGCTGTGAAGCCTCCAATAGACCAGCCGTAGACCACCACATGAGCAGGCGGGAATTGTAGGCGGTGCAGGGCACACTTCATCACCACATCCATGGCATTGGCGTCGTGTCGAGGGAACGGTGCACCGGTGCTGCCTCCGAAACCCGGGTGGTTCCAGCCTAGTACCGAGTAGCCAGCCTCAAGAGGCGCAGACAGACAGCCCATCTCATAGAAGCCGGCGATACCTTCGCAGCAGATAACAAGGCGTAGGCCGCGGCCGTGGCTGCCAGGGTGCTGGCGGCGATCCATGAACATGGTGTCGATCTCACTGCCATCACAAGCCACCAGCTTGGCACGGCGGCCACGGTAGCGCTCCACGAGGCGCTCTTGGCGCTGCTGCAGCAGTGGCAGCAGTGCGCGAGTCATCAAGAACATGGAGCCAGGATATACTAGCCAGCGGCCTAGTCAGTGGGCCAGCGCATAGCTGGCGAGCTGGCTGGGCAGCTCGCGGATCTGCTGCAAGAAGCACTGCGCCTGGCTGCGAGCCCCACGTGGCCGCCCGGATGCGTCCACACCCAGCACTGCCTCACGCAAAAGCCACACGCCGGCTGCAGCTGCTGCGCACGTCAATGCGCGATGACCACTGCCGCCCGCACTGGTGGTAGTGCGCACGTCATCCCAGCGAAAGTCCACTGGCCAGCTGCGGAAGTTGTATGTGTAGTTTGCTGTCAGGTAGATCTTGAACACTTGCACCAGCGCCTTCACAAAGCAGATGACACACATGGGCACTGAGACTACGCACTGCTTCTTACTAGCCCCAAGGCCTAGTGGCCCAATCTAGAGACTGGGGTGGCAGCAGGACATCCAGACTCTGGCCCGGCCCAGTGGGCGACTGCGGGAATGAGCCCAATTGACAGTGAATGATTGGAGGAGCTGACAATTTCCAGGCATGCCTGCTCGGTGAAGGCCCAAATGGCCTTTGTGACCCGAGCCTTCCAGGACCTAGGGAAAGGTGCATCTCCCCTGGCCTGTGCAGGCTTTGTGAGTAATTGTTGCTGGGACAAGAGGTAACACTAGGATGATGGGCACACAAAGGTTTCTGAGGCATGATGAACCTCAGGTTTTGCCCTGCCCCCTGAAACATAGGGTTTAGGACTTCAGAGAGCAGCCACACACAACACCTCCCCAGCACTGCTTCATCCGCCTTTCTTCGGTATCCTGAAGCTCTCCTATCTCCCTCTTTCTTAACCAGATAGGCCAGAATTGAACAGTTTTGACTTCCTCCTGATGGATGCAGGGGTATGGCTGGGAATAAAGCAAGAATTCCCACCTCTGTGCCAGTTTGCCTTGGGTAATACCCCTTGGGTTCCTTTGATTTATATCTCACAACAAGAGTGTGGTTAGAATGCCACTACCATAAGGAGGTAGTATTTCTTTAGTGCCTGTGACTTCAGCTGCTCCACACTTGCCTTCTCAGGGAAGAGAGTGAGAGCAGGCTGGAAAACCCCCTCCCTCGCTTTTTCTGATCCTCTTTTCACTGGTACCAGCAGCAGCAATGACCTTCTCCAGGTGGGTCCTTCCTGGCTGGGGTTCCTCTTTTTCAGTCCCTAGTTGAGCCCCCACCCCATCCCCACCCTACCAGCTGTGTCTTCCTCCTTTCTAAAGGGCTCTAGTGGGTTCCCCTTTTTCTCCTTCTGGGAGAGGGCTATCTCACCTGAGGTTCAAGGGGGCAGTGAAAGACACTGCTCAGGGGACACATTTAATAGTGGCTCAGACCTGAAATAAAAATACTAAAACCAGGGAAACCCAGCCCATCCCTGAGCCCAAGGGCCAGGCCTGCCTTAGAGACTCCAAGCTTTGAGAAAGGGGGTTCCCAGGCTCTAACACTAGCTGTCTGCTGTCCTCTACCTCCAGGTTGAGGAAACTGCCTGACTCAAACAGCACCCATCAGCTTTGGAACCAGCTGAAGGTCTGCTGCTGTCTTTAAAGACTGGTGGATCAGGACAGGACCAATTGGAAGAGCTGATGATTCCCCTAAACTCTCTCATACACCTGGGGTTTCAGGTAAAATACAGAATACGCAGTTAAAGTTGAACTTCAGATGAAAGGCAAAAAAAAAAAAAACTTTTTTGGATATTTTTGAGACAGGATCTTGCCAGGTAGCCCAGGCTGCCCTCGCACTCACAATCCTCCTGCCTCAGCCTCCAAAGTGCTGAGATTATAGACATGTACCACCACGCCTAGCCCAAGGAAATATTTTTTGACTATGTATATCCCAAATGTTGCATGAAACATACTTATACAGATGATGGTGTGGAAGTATATCCACTTGACCAATATGTTTTCATATTCAGTACAACATTTGCTAAGTTACACAAGCCAGTCAACATTTTATTATAAAACAGGCTTTGTGTTAGATGGTTTTGCCCAACTGTTATATTCCGAGCATTTTTAAGGAAAAATGGCTAGGCTAGGCTAAGTTATGACGCTTTTTTTGTTTTGTTTTGGGCAGTACTGGTGTTTGAGCTTAGGCCCTCACACTTGCTTGGCAGATGCTCTACCATTTGAGCCATGCTGCCAGCCTGATCTTTGCATTTTTTGACTGAAGAAATGTGGGGGTTATGGAGATGTAACCCCATAATACATCAAGGAACATATGTATGTTTAAAATTGTTTATCTGAAGTTCCAGTTTAAAGGGATGTCACCCTGCTTTTTAGGGTGATTGTTTTGTAAAATCTGGTACTCCTATCCCAGATGCACATATTTCCAGCCAGCTGAGATCCAGATTCTCCTGACTATTCAGTTTTTAATCCCAGCTTGGGTTTCTCTGCTCATTGGTTAGGTCTGAGGACCAAGAGGGTGTCTTAGGATCCACTGGTGCAGCTTCTGACCTTCCATCCCTCAGTCCCCACTCCTTGGCTCCTGGGCTGCAACATCCAAAAAGGGAACCCATTGGGTGCCTCACCTTGGGCCAAGAGATGGACAGGGCATCCTGTGGGGATTCATGGTCTTCATCTTCCTGAAATGTCCACTCTGTGGGGAAAGGAACCATTCTGGGTAGGGGTAAAGGTGGTCTCAAGTTCATTTTGTGTGAGACTGTGGGAGTGTCCTCTCACATAGAATGGAGGAACTGGTTGGGGGATCCAAGTCTCTGCCTCCTCAGTCCAGTTCCAAGCAGCTGGTGGGGAGGATTCCTTGAATCCTCCCACTCCTGGTTTGGAGTGGGAAATGGCAAGTGTCCTGGAGAATTGTCTGCATGGTATGTTGGAGGCACCACGTTTTGTTTTGATTCCCCAGAGAAAGATCCTGTTTGGAGGAGCCTCTTCCTCCTGGGGGCAGTCTCTGAGCTTGATCTGCTCTGCGAGTTGTTTGGAAATAGAGGCTTTTCTTCAGGCAGGCCCACCTGCCCTTGGCTTCCCCAAACACCCCCCCGCCAAAGGGGGGAGATGAGAGACCGGATTCTGGGGGCAGAGGTCAGCAGGCTGGAGCCACTAGCCCCCAGGGCTCCATGCCTTAGCCTGTATCTGCCCTGGCCCTTGACCCCACCAGTCCACAGGAGCCCAAGTGCCCCAGAACCACCAACTCTGTTGAGACAGGAAAGCATGTGACAGGAAGGGGGCTGTCCCATCTAATCCCCCCACCTCAAGCTGGACCAGTTACAGCAGCAGAGACCTCTTATGCCCACCCTCTCTGCTCAGGGAAGGGGAATGAACTCTGTATCCTAGTTTATCAGTTCGTGGAGGAATCCCCCCAGCTCCCTGAGGCCCTCCAGGCAGATATCTGAGCATGCACCCCACCCCCACTGGGCCTGCTAGCCCTGGACCTCTGCCCTCCCCCACTGAGGCCTTGCTTCCTCCCTGGCCAGTTCTGTTGCCTCCCTAGAGGCCCTTGATTTATGCTGCTGAGCCTGCAGAGCCAACCTTGGAGAAGGAAGGAAAGGAGAGAGAGAAAACCAGTCCCAGAGGCAGGAGGGGCCATAGCTAAGATCAGAGCCCCTGGCAGAGGATGTCCATCTCAGTGCCAGCCGACCACAGCGGCCCTGGACCTAGGGAGCAGTGCCCTGGCCTCAGGAAAACTGAAGCCACAGGCAGGAGGGGGAGCTGAGTCTGCACAAACGCCTCTGCTCAGGAAATGGGGTGTAGGGAAGGTGGGGCTGGTTTGGAGCCCAAGGACAGGAGGGGAAGCTTCCTGGCGGATGCGGGGTCAGGAGAAGGGGCGGAAATGTCCAAGACAGCTGCTGAACATCTGGAGTCATAGAGAATTAATTACCCAGCGCCCTGGAGTACAGTGGGGCTGGTAGAGGGAGCCCTCTTCTTCTTGGCTCCCTGTAGAGCCTGTCCTTTGTCTCTCCTGCCCTGACTAAGAACCTGGGAGCAGCCCCTCCCCAGAGTGCCTCCTAACACCCATCCCAGGGGTGATGAAACCACAAACTGTTCCTTCTGAATCTTCAGCCACACTGAAAGCCTATGACTACGGGTGACCATGTCCTGTGTGTGGAGAGGAGGAGGTGAAGGGCCAGGGCCTTGGGAAGGGCCACTTTTCTGCCCCAGCACTGCTGTGGGAGCTCTCGGTGCCCCACCTACACTCTCCTGTGGTAATGGGCCAGCATCTCTCCACAATCTTGATGGTGGTGAGAACATGGCCATGCTGCTCCCCATGTCTGTGTGGGGTCCAATGGGAGCCGTTTTCCAGGCAGGGCACAGTCGTACTTTCTGCAGATTCTTAAGGGGAAGCTCCTGAGATGGTCACTGGGGCAGCAGACACATGCATTAAAAGGTCATTCTATTTCCAGGGGCCTTAGCTAATCTATCATTGTAACACCCAATTTTTTGTTTTGTTTTGTTTTGGTTTTGGTTTTGGTGGGACTGGAGTTTGAACTCAGGGCTTCAGGCTTGTAAAGCAGGCACTCTACCTCTTAAACCACCCCTCTGGTCCACTTTTCCTCTGGTTATTTTTGGAAATGGGGTCTCCTGAACTATTTGCGCTGGCTGGCCTCAAACTGCCATACTCCCTTATCTCTGCCTCCCAAGTAGCTGGAATTACAGGGTCTTGATATAAGATGAGTACTTACTGTTATTCCCAAAACAAAGATTCTCACTCAACCAGTGAGGCAGGGATGTCCTTTCCATGCCCCCTCCTAGGTATCCAAAGTTGTTTGCCAGGTCTACCTGTCCTTTCCTCACCTTTCTGTACCTGCAAATATGTACACACATACATATCTCATCAAGGGGATTACTTTTCATCATTTCCTTTTACCGAAATGTATCTAATATACTCTGTACCTTGCTTTTCTTGACAGTGTGTCCTGGGCTTCACTGCTAGTGTGACCCTCATGGCTGTTTGTGTACTAGTGCCCAGGTATCCCTCCACAGGTTCCAAACCTTTCCCCTCTGCAAACGTGGCTGCAATGGTCCACTGCTGTCCAAGGACCTCTCTTCTACGTACTATTCCTATCCACTAGATTCCTAAAAGTGTGTTACTTCATCAAAGGTGTGTTTTAATGGCATGAGATTTGGTCAAATTGCTTTCCCAGAAGTCTGTGCCAGCCTGTAAGTCCTGTTTACACTAAAGGACCTTGTTTCTGTAGGTTCTGCAGCAACACCGGCAGCTTTTAGCTGCTTTTAGCATTTGTTCATCCCTGTGTACATAAATTTGATGAATCCTGACTGATCCTGACTGTTGACCAAGCCAGCACCAGAAGTTCTGTCATCCCCCCACTGCCCCTTAGGGACCCCTCACCTGTAGTGCCCTTCTGGTGACCAGATAGAAACTATGGCCTGGA